GAGAAAAGCAAACTTTTCTCCATTAACTTCTCCAGAAACTTATCCGAAAGTGTTCAACCCAATTAGGCTTTAACGTATTTACTTGTTAGTTGTAGACTTAACTTTCCATGTTCCGTCTCAAACACAACTGACTGTATTTCTGGCTTTTTGCAGGTGTTGAATTTACGTCGTTTTCTTTGTTTTACGATAACAAATTGCACGCAAACACGCAAATGCTTTCAGTTAGAGCGTCAGTTGCTGCCCGGCTCCTGCTGCAAGGATATGATATGTACATGAGTATGTTATTTGAGTGCTGAAATTAATTTTTCATAGACACGAAATGTGTTTTCTGTTCCAGGACCCACACGCAGATGAGTGTTTAATGAAATAATTAGTGCAGTCTGCTTATTTAAGTCATTGTTCGTTTTGCTTACATGAACAAAGTCAAATTCGATATGACAATTCGTGTTTAAATTATATGCATTTTTTCATGCCCTCGCAATATATGTGCTTTATTTCATTTATTATTATTTTTCCTTTTTTTTTTTGTTGCTGTTTTGCAGTTCAACGCCCACAATTAGTTCCACTTAAATAAATCAAAAGAAATTTTTGTAAACATTTGCCCACACAGTGGCTCCCACACATACACGCACAGACAGACACATTTGTATATGCATTTATTTCAAATTATAGCTGTTGCTTTTTGCATAAACCACAATTGTTTTTGCTTTATTCGAGTGCACGTTTTTAATGAATAATGCATTCATATTTACCGAGATGCACAAATTGCATGCGGCTGCGTATTAAAAATTAAAGTAGCTTCAAGCTTTACAGCCTTTAAATTCTATCCGAATCTGTCTAACGTTTGTTTAAGCAAGACACTAATCTTCGTCACGCCGAATATTAAATACCCTTACCAAAGTGCTTTTGTGCTAAATATGTATATCTTAGCGATTGCTCCTATGGGAAAAACAGACATGTTTTTGGTACCAATAAAGTTTTTCGACTAATTCATCCTAGAGAGCTATATGATAAATGGCCATATATACTACCTGTAGCATATGTAAAGTTTTACAACAATACGGAAACATGCTCTAATATGTGCGCCCATTTTGTGACAATCTTATGATAGCCAGCATAGGATTATATATGCTGCTTACATCTTCAAGAAAGAAACTCGAAGACAATCTCACAAAAGATTCGTCGAGACTTTAAAAGTATTTTGGTTACAGGTTTTGGCTCCATGTCCGTGTCATGTGTGAGTTCTTACCTGGTATTATAACCATTTTTTTCGATCGATTTTTTATTTAAGCCATGTTTTGGTTGCCCACTTTTTTTTTGTGCTTCTATTAACACCCGAGAGGAAAGATGAGTGTTACACAGTTTTCGCCATCAACTTTTGTCTTTATGAGCACCCAAAATCCAATTAACACATGCTGCCATATTTCCGGGCTAATCCTTCCCGGAGGGCGGCTGCGCAAATTACAATTTAAAAAATAATTACGAAAATGTCTGCAATGAAATTTTTGCCCGCAGGCATCGCCAGACGCCTTGCTCCCATTTCGCTGCTGCAATTTCTGAAGGCGCTAAATGTTAATGAACATTATAAAAACAATTGCAAGTAATTATAATTTGAATGATAATAGCGAAACTTCTTAATCCCCGCAACGGTAATTTTTATTCCTCCTCTCTCTCCTCTCCCGCTCACTCTCACTTGTTCTATACGCCCCCATTTCAACCCCCAAGCCCCACCGCCAGCTTGTTTCACGCTTTCAGCGGAGACAATTCACAAAGGCGCCGGCGACATCGCCTCACAAAACGTGAAAATGCATAATAAAGGGGGCGTGGCACTCGAACAGGACAAGATGAAATGAGAGCAGCAGAGAACGAGGTCTGAAGAGAGAAATGCGTTCCTTGTAATTAAATTCCTTTTAATGAAACCTCAAAACAAACACAAAAGCTCCCTGCAATACAAAAAAATACTCGCAACAATAACGCGAAAACCCAATAAAAAAATGGAAAAAATTACTAAAAAAAAAGTCCGAAGAGCAAGTGACAAGGCGACACAGTTATAAACAGAGGAGTTAAGGGACAACTCGAAAACTTGAAAAAAAAATTAAGTAGGGGTTTAAAATAAAAATATGAAAAGGTATAATTGAACCTACCAACTCTTGCTATTATTATAACCGGTAGCAATTGGAAATGAAAGAATAATATAATTGCGTTAAGAAAGTCGAATTGGTAGTATATAAGGATATAAAATATGGTAATCAAACGAAACATAAAATAATAATGTTAGCCTGCTTTTATAGATTGTCAATAATGTAATTACTAATCAATAATATGAAATTTAATATAGAGAGATACACTTTTTGAATGACATTCACAACTAAATACTAGAGATACTATTAAAACTAAAAGGCTTGTTTAGCTTGATTTTCAGTCAGTTTCATTGAAAGACTTACAATATCAAATAGCTGGATTGCCCTTGCCTATTGCCTATTGCCTTGCCTTGACCATTGTCTTTCTGCGTTGGCCTCAGAGCATAAACAGACAAATATATAGGAGCATCAAGAAAATTAATTCTAATTTGTAGTTAGCCAGAAAGGAAACTACCCGCAACTGACGGCGGCAAATTGGGGGTTGGGGGAAGCTGTTGCCATCGCGTTGCTAGTCCTGCTACTGAGTCCTTTGCACACTTTGCAGCTAATTATTCAGATGAAAAGCGCCGCAGGAGCGGGAAGGAAGCGAGCAGGCAACAAGAATTTTGCTCAGCGAAAAATCAAACAACGAAATTGCTACTTGCAATTTCTCGTCACGTTCAAAACTTAATTAGTACATCAGGACATCATCAGAGCTGCTGCTTCAGTTGCTCCTGCTGCTGGTAGTGCCAGGACTTCAACCGAGCTCGAGCCCAATGCAGTGTCTACAACTACGGCTGGTGCGGAGTCTGAGGACGAGGCCGAGGCCGAGGCCGGGACTGGGGCTGAAGCTGTCATAAGGACGTCATGTTTCTTAATTAGTTCTTTGTTATCATAACTTTTTGGCGAAACGTTGCGTCCACCACAGCCCATCGGCAGCTGCGGACTTCATCGAATTTTCGGTCTTGGCGCTTCATTAGCGTCCATGTACTATGAAAACCTACTCAAATTTCAGATGCTTTTCATGCATAGCATAAGCTGCAGAGTTACGCATCCATTGAGAGATACGCATATGCTTTGGGTTAAACAATCCGCCTGTTGTATCATCGGCATCAACGGATTTGTTAAGGCAACTGGTTGAATACTACAATACGCTGTGACAGGATTTGGAGGCTGTAAGCCGCTGCCAGCTGCCAGCTACCAGCTGCCATACTGTGGATACACACACACTAGCACAAGATTTTGGCATGCCGCACACGTAGAAGATTTCCGCACGAATTCGCAAAGCAACTCTTGATCCCTTTGACTCGTGGACATGTTTTCTCAGGCATTCTCTTTGATGTTTACAAATTACACCAAAAGTTGGCAAACAAATTTTCTTATTCACTTTTACCGACTGCGCACACAATAAAATGGCCAAGCCAAGCCCCAAATCCCAGCCCGAATGAATCCCCAAATCTCCCGCAGCAGCACCAGCAGCAACGATGAGAAATGCTTGTAAATGTGCCAAGTGAAATTGCGACCAGGAGACAAAAATTTGTGTGTGCAAAATACATTTACAATGCATTCTTGAGTCCTGGCCAAAATAATCGAAAAGTTTCAATTGTGCTTTTAGATCGATTTACCAATTGGATTTGCCAAGATTAACAAGTGTGAAGGCTCCCGTGGAGTAAATACCACGCGCAAATACCTTATACTCGGGTCTAAGAATATTTTATTCTCAAGACCTTCTTAAGCAGCTGCAATTTTTTCAACTCGAAATAGACTTTAGCTTTAAGACGCGACTCTGGCGATAGTACAGCAATTGTTTAGAGTCGATATTTGTTTGCTGTCGGATATTTAACACTCCGATAAGAAACACGCCTTTCCTTTTCCCAGAAGTGTGGCGAAACTCAGCTCCTTTTCTCGAATTGAAGATGCAAACCCGATATCTTTGCTATAGCAGTCAATCGATATAAGTTAAAGCAGTCAGATATTTTTAGTATACTTTAGAAGACTATTACTACAGGGTATAGCCATATTAAATGCACTTTGTCTCTTTCGGTAAGGGAAATATTTGAACTGTTGCTAGTAAAGCTAGCAAAATCAAAAAATAAAAACTAAAATCAACTTTTTTAATTTATCCAATTATATTTTTACGCTGTAAAAACTTTGGGCTTTTCAGTTGTATGTAGAAAAAGCTTCACATAGTTCTCCACATGCTGATCTCCACATGCCCAAACGCACGCACAACATTCTGTGTGTGCGTGGGGTGTGTGTGTGTGCGTGTGTACAGAATTCATTTGTGCACACAACAACGATAAAAACATCTTCAAGTCGAAGGATGTGCAAAAGTTTTTTGTTCACTCATTCATAAGTTTTTAATTAAATTGCCGTCACATATTTTTCCGAGCTCAAACAAAGTCGCTTTTGATGACGCTCTCCGAGGAGCTCTTTAATTGACAGGATGATTTATTTTCAACTTTTTGCTTAAATTTATACTAATCAGCTATTAACCAGAACGTAGAATAAATACATATTGTGTACGATATATGTTAGTGGCAAGCGGCAGATTTTTCATGACATGACTGACACATTTGTTCCTTTTACATTTTCCAAACATATAACAAAATGGTTAAGTATGCCAAAATTAAAATCCTTATCCTCTTTCAGAGGAAGTAGAATTCTAAAACTGCAAAAAACACTAAAACCGTATTCTAAGAAAACTACACTTTTTCGGATGAGATTTGCTTAATCTTGATGTTTGGCAACTATGTTTGAGACAGAGTTTATCGTCAATACATCCGTAGTATCTAGCTTAAGCAAAATGACTTACACCCTTACAAACAGAGGAATTAACTAATAAATTCAGACACCCTAAATTTATTCCTAAATATTCGTTTAGCCCTCATTTAAGACGATAAAACGCTTGAAATCTCCAACCTCATTCGGTTCGCATGTTTCACTTGCTTTAATCTTCGGTGGCAACATTTTCTGTATAACCGAATCCATCTGCTCCTTCATTGCATCTTTATTGTAGTCACAATCCTTAACGGGCTTAAGTACTGGCTGGGAGATCAGCTTCAAGTCCTTGTGCATCAGCAGTCGCCGGCAGAGCAGCTGCAATGGCTCTTCCAAGTTCCAGGCAGCGCGTGCCGACAGCTCACAGTAGTCAAGGTTGTCTTGCTGTCGAAATAACAGCTCCGGGCACATGCGCTCTAGCTCCGCCTTGTTGCCGCAGACGACCACCGGCAGCTCGTTGCCGCAGATTTCATTAAGGCGCTGCTGCCAACGTGTCACGCTGGCCGCAGTGCTGGCCACGCTCAAATCGAACATGATGATGGCACATTTGGCGAAGAAGAAGTAACCATTGTGGAGTCCTCCGTGCCGAGAATCGCCTGCAATATCCCACATCTCGAGCGCGACGGCCTGATAGTTCGTCTCCAGTAGCAGCGTGTGCACATTGAGTCCGTGTGTGGGCACATGTTGATCCTCGAACTGTCCAGTTGCATGCCGGCGCAAAAATGTGGATTTACCGACGCCAGAGTCCCCAAGGATGAGGCACTTGTATGTGTGTTGTGCGGACAAGCTAGGCCGAAACTCCATGTCTTAATATGTGCGTATGTTCGTATGTGTGTGGAGAAAATATAAAACATGAAGCTCTGTGTGTTAGTGTGTGTGTGTGTGTCTAAGTCGGTTTACTTTTAGAGAATCCAGATAACTTTGATTTAAATTCCCTACACCGATTTATATATCACAAATGTAAATCAATTACGGCGATCCGGGCTTGTCTTGTCTATTGTTGATAAGGTGTCAAGAGGGAAGAGTAATAGCCTACTCTTGATGAGCATCAGCAGCCGAGTTCTCAGAGACTAAAGAGCTAGATAAAATCGATAAGAATTGATTATGTCTGCCTTAGACTCTATAATAGCTAGCTTTTACAGACCTAAGATATTAAACGTTTATTTTTCTAGTGCCCGAAAACATCGAGTTTATTTAACTCCATATCTCGAAGCGTATAAGAGCTAGATACAACAATATGTCAGGTACTTAGATACCTCCTACATTCCCCGGAAGGGAAAAAGTGTCTTTTTGGAGTTATAGCCTTCTGCTTAAGTATTTATACACATTTGGATGTGAAAATATATTTAAACCATCAAAAAATGTTTTTTATCAATACTTTTAAATTGATGGCTCAAGGTATATTTAATAATTGAGGTAAAACCCCTGAGCTCAAGTTGTTTAAAGAGGGTGTCAGTTTATTTAATAATCTTAACTATTTTGTTTATGTTTGTTGTTATTGCCGCTGTTGTTGTTAGTGTTTTGATAAGTGTTCGTTTTGCCCAGTTGGTTGGAAAATTTGAATAGTAAGGAGCGAGCACTCATTCGAGTTAGTCAAATATTTGTAATTGCACGCGATGTTTACACGAAATAGGAAAAAACAAATTCAATTGGCCAACTTGGCGACGGTAACTCTGACTTCGCTGGCCGGGAGGCGGCCGGGGGAGTGGCACATAAAACAAAAACATTTCAGCAATGAAAATAAACGTGCAACTGTTTTAAGCGCTCCCGAATCCCCCCCCCCCCTCCCCCCTTCATCGAAACTATTACCCCACCTGCCAACAAATGAGGCGTTAATTGTATTTACACAGCAGTTATGATGGCCATTTGATGGGCGCACACCGAATGCACATAAAACTACAAGACAGGTCCTTAATTCGTTCGGAGCTTGTAGTTTATGAGCAGTTTATTAGCTATTGTTCCGAATTAATGGCCTGTCAGTTTTTATATATATCTTGTTTAGATCTTTCTGTTTGCCAACCACATTTCTACAAATATGTCAAAAACGTTTTGAGAAATTGACCTAAAAATATACAACCTGTTATAAATAATTCTTTATCTAGAAAATAATTCATATTAATGACCAGGGCCCACAATGCGGAGCAACTCCCCGCCTTTAGATAAGGTTCGTGAGCTTGCTTTTCCACACTCTTGAATCCATGTTTTGGTTCAAGCCTAAGATGACATAATATAAATTCTATCCATTCGTAATTGAACATAGATATCTGATTGATATCAGATAAAACATTATGAAAATTAAATCTTAAGGTCTCCGAGATAGATGCGTTCATCTTCCCAGACGGACTAGCTTATATGCCTAGATGGACTATATCGGCTGATCAAGGATAAACGGCTAGATCTCCCTCACTGCATTTCACCTGCATTTATAAAACTTTCTTATAATATTATTCATACCCACTTTCAATGAGTGAGCGATTTGAAAAACACAAAATAACAGCCCCAATATGTGTAGGCTTTAAGTAGGGTCCCCTCTGGTACTTTAACAATTTCGATGGGATTTCAAATCGCCCAATTGAGCTGCCTTTGCCAGACAAATGTTACTCGGATTGACAGCGGAAAACGCAACGCTTGACATGACATAGGAACTGCTCGAGCTGCTGCTGACTGCTGATTGGTGACTAGTGACTGGTGACTGGTTACTGGGGACTGCCAACTGCCGACTGGTGACTGTAGCTTGAGTAGTGACAGTGGCAGACGGGAGGGGCTTAAGTGCGGTGGCGGTGGCGGTGCCCGGATTCATCCATCTACGGTTATGCGTTGGCGGCGCAATTGTCAATTCCATCAATCACGGCGAGTGACATTTGGGTTACCATTGCGAATTGAGAGCTACATTTTCTGCTTTGGATGCTGTAATTGATGTTGAATGCGCCAGCTACATATACCCAACCGGAAGCACCTAAGAGCAGCTGTAAAAGGATGAGAGCCTGTGAGAGAGGGGTGGCGGACAGAGAAATTAGTAACATAACCGGATTTCACATTTTCAAATGCAAAGTATTTTCAGTTTGGACTGAAAAGCCTTACTGGCTACTTCCGTGGCCCGGCTCGCAATAAAAGCCATTTGACAAAAGCGAAAAGCCGAAAGAAAGAAAACCCAAACAAAGAAAAACAACCAAAGCGAAGAGAACAAAAAATGGTATAATATAAAGCACACACCCACACATACACAAAAACGTATGGCCAAAATGGATAAGCTTCCCCCCTGGGTAAATGGGGGAGTGTAGCAGGGACCCATAGAAAATGGCATTACTTTCAGCCAGCTTCCACAGTCCCTACGGCCTGCTGCCTTCATCGAACATCCTTCCTGGCTTTCCCAAGCGCTTTTGTGTGGTGGCGTACCAGTCACAAAAAAAAAGCCGAAGTTTTCGAGCAGCTCTGGTCTGTGCGGTTGGGTGGGGCAGCGGGCAGTGGGGCAGTGGGGCAGCGAGGCGTATCCGTTGGGTGACTTAAATAAAATTTGTTGATTTTATTGAAAAGTGATGATGTGTCAAATTTTTTATCGCATTACCAGCGCGTAGCTCTTATTTTGCTTTTAACCTTGTCATTTGCATAAAATTCGCATTGAATAGACACATTAGCATTTTTAATGGCCCGCTGCCCGCCGAAACTCATTTCCCGTATCCTTCATCACGAGCCTTCGGTCAGCGCTAGTCACGCCGCACGCCTCCAAATTTATCAATGCTGAACACGTTTGGGGTTGAAGGTTGTCCAAAAAAAACACAAAAATCTACAACTGCTACCTTCAGCATGCCGAAGATTAAATACCCTAGAAGTGTCTTATGCTTTATGCTTTATTTTCGCCCAATTACTAGTTCGACTTTGACATATGCTCAGAGCATAGTGAAGCTCTTAATCTCTTTTATTCAGAAAGAAAAAAAATATTCGATTGATTCTTTCTAAAGAACCATTTGAATTTACAAGAATTTTTGTCATATGCATAGTTAAACTTCTGAAATATAAGATATCTCGAAAATCGAAATAAACTTTTCATACAAGGATCTAGTTTTTGACTGACTGCTCCTATGACCGTCTTAAGATATAGTATTCCTGTCCGTCCAGCTACGACATATGTAATGCCTACAACAAAAAGCCTAAACCTAGTTGCACGATATTAATATATGTATATCATGGTATAGAAAACTTCTCCTTCTATGCGTTATACATTGACTATTGACTAACCTCTAATATCCTCTACAAGGGTAAATAGACCGTAAGAAAACCATAGAAGCGACGCATTCACTGAAGTGACAATTGAGCAATACTTCTAGACTTCTGTGGGGAATAGCGACTGCACTGATTCCAGAGACAAATTGAACAGCTTAATGCATGTCAAATTGTCAATTGCTTCCTATCCATGCGGAATACTGTTTAGTTTTGGCTAGTTGAATGAATTATGTACATTCATTCTATATTTTTTATACTCCAATAAGCCACTATAGTGAAAAAAACCTGACATTTGCTACAATTTCTAAAGAACGGGTTTTAAGACACGAATCAAAGTATGATTGGCTTAAATATTTATAGTCATTCTTCGTATTCAGTAAATGGTAAGCTTTAAGCTAGCACCACATTTGATTTTAAAAATATATATTATATTTGGTTAGTATATTCAGTAAAATACCTTAATAATGGTATGAACTTAGATAATAATTGGTTCAACTTATTAACGTGCTATTAAACAAACAAACTATTAAACAAAACATGCATGCACTATTGCACGCACCACACACACACACACACACACACACACACACACACACTTTCATACACACACACGCACACATATATAAAATGCTTTATATCCCGTTGCACGAAATATATAATTATATACTTATATGAGTCGAAACCTGGGTCCAAGGATGTTACAAACCAGCTTCGAACCAAATACACTTTACTAGAACCAAATATCGAAACAGCAAACGATTTTTATAAAATAAATTCCCAATTCGAAACCTCTTTCATTCAGACACAAGCTGGCATATCAGTGTAGTATATTAAATACATAAAGGTAATATCAGCAGTTGGCGTACATTTTGCGATCTTTCTCAGATATGTCTTTAGAGATTTGCTCAAAATGCGTTGACTTGAAATCCCACTTGTGTGTTGTGAAGAATTTTCTTTATTTCTGCTTCTAGCATGCTTCTAGCATGTATTCTTCTAATTTCTTGATGGTTAGTAATACATATTCTTTTTGAATTGTTACTACAAAAGACTTTCTTTAACACAGACAAAGACTGTGTAAAATGCGACTCCCTTGGCGATTTCACAGAGTAATCCGCAGAGTGAAATTTTATTCGTGATGGCCTAGTTCCGTTTACTGCGAGCAGATGGAAAGCAATGGCTTTGCATTAGAGCGCATCTCGGCCATAAATAACATGACGTTTCATTAGGCGGCGAAAATGAAAAGCTATGATCACCTGGGCTGGCACCTGACCAGAGAGGGAGACAGAACGACGGAAGACAATCGCGCGCAGGACGAAGGACCAACAGGAGGACTGTAATGGTCTGTGCTGCTGCTGCTGTTGGCAGGTGTCGGCGCAGGTGTTTTAATCACACGAACGCGGCGCATTTGTGCCCGGTAGTTGGTACGCATAAATTTTCATTTCCATTTTCATGGCTCAACGCACAAAACGCAGGCAGGACAATGGCAACAAGGACGACTAGGACGACGTTTCGCCATTTGCCTTTGTCGCTTTTTATTGCCTGCACTTCATTTGTTGACGCTATTTCGTTGCCGAGTGCTCATA